AAACTAGAAGCACAACAAATTAAAATAACATAACAAGACATAGGTGAAATGTATAGTCGCTCCATTTTGGTTGATCCTTAGGAGAACGTGAAACATTTTTATATATAAAATTACACACCTTAAAATAAAAGAATAACAAAATAAAATTATATTAAGTAGACGTAATTGACCATTGGTTTTTTCAATTGGAAAGGATTGTTTATTAAGTTGGAAGTCTTAAAGGCGAGTCTGAAAACTCAAAGACTATGAACTCAAAGTCTTAAAGTAATGGGGATGCTTTTAGAACCTCATTAATGAGATGGAGTGAAAAGGGGAATAAGATTATCTGGAGGAAAAAGAAGAGAAGAATGATGAGAGGGGAGAGAGGAATAGAGGAGAAAGATGGGGAGGGAGAATAATATATTCCTCTAGAAAGGGAAAAAAAGTGATTGGTCAATTGTTTTTATTAGGTTTTCTTTTTTTTTTGTACAAATGAAAATATGCCATATAAAAAAATTAAATGAATGGTTAGAGATGGATAGAGAAAGTTGAAGGAGAAACTAGAAAGTGACGTGATGTTGGAAGATGTGGCATACACAATTCGAGAAGCCGCTTCTGATGTAACACCCCAATATGTATAACCCGGAATTATAGGAATTAAGGTGAAACGGGAGAAATATTTTAAAACTTTTCCAAATCATTAAATAAAATTCATAAGACAAAAATTCAAAATATAACATATTAAATTCAGATCGATCCTTTTACAAAATGTCGGAGATAGCGGAAGACTAAAAATAATACAAATACAATGATGTGGGTCAAACCCAAAACTTCAAATCCAAAACTTGTGAAAATCATGCATGTCAACCTACCATCCTATCGTCTCTTCGTCCTCCGGGGGGTACACATAATCTGTAGTTCAACCTACGTGTAGACAAAAAGACTACACGCTCAGCATAAAAGCTGAGTGGTACAATAACGCGAGAGATCGATAACATATTTATACTTAAATACTACGCATCACATTAGCCACATAATTTTCATGCTTGCATAGTAGATAGCGCCAGATACAAGAAACACATATACATATCATGGAGATTCATTTTGGAATATTATCCAATTATAAATACCTTGGCCTTGTCATCGCCGATGTTGGATATGAAGTGCAGTACATTTTGCAATACCACATACAATTTGATAATTAAGATCTGCATAATTATTTACAAACGATGCAATGCTAGATGATATGATTCATGATGCATGAGTTAGACTACGCTATTAGGGACACCTCTGACTTAGTCTCACTTGACAGGATCACCCCTGCACTCCGGTAATGACCCGGGCTCGACAAAACGTCACAAGTGAACTAGCAAAAACCGGGTGGTAGCCGTAACCTGACTACCATGTACGTACACAAAGCCCACCTGATGAAAACCCGTTGGATCGCGAAGGTTCCTGGACGGGCCCACTGTAGGATTAACTAAGGATTAACTAATCAAACAATTAAAATTGATGACTATTCTATCAAAATCTTTTCCTAAAAATATATAGACAAAACAATTCCTAAAACGATCATTTCAACCATGAACTCTTACCTCCTCACACTTAAACGGAACCACGCCCTCGTGGTTAATAGTATTTCGGAATTGGAGTTAATGGTTGAAATGCTCACATGCAATTACTAAGTTATCTCAATACTTATAAAATTCAACAATGAAGATTGAAATAATAGATAACTATAACATGTAAATATGAAATTATGCATAAAATTTTCTCAAAATGGGATTAAGAGCCATAATGTGTAATTCCAAAATAAGATCATATAAATATCCAAAAATGATGTTCTTAATGCAGTATTAAGAAATTAGGGATCTCACTATCCCTAACGTTTGCCTTGTTTAGGACCTTCCCCATGCTCAGCCTTCCTTGTTCCTTGTTCGCGGGTGTATTCAAGTATTTCCTCCACCTGCCATTGTTGCGTGAGAAGGAGCGTCTCTATGCTCCTTAAGCAAGAGTCTACAGAATCCTGGAATGCAAACATAGCCTGTGAAAGCTCGCGAAGGGTCATGGGAATTGTATGCTGCTTTCTAGGGCGTGCCTCCTTGTCCTCCTTATTATAAGCAATCTGGGTTAGACACCTTGTCGACGGTCGGAACATGCTTGCGGCTTCTGGGAGAACATTGGGGACCGTCATACATAATCCCCGGGCCAGAAGTGTAACCATTGGTCCACACAAGACAAACTGGTGGTTGCAAGTTGATTGGGCAAATAAGAATCGAGCCACAAAAGTTGCCAGATTGACTGGTACGCGTGCTTCCAGACTCCAGAAAAATAGCATATCAGAATCGAACACCACGTCAGGGCCATGAGAACGGCCGAAATAGCTGTGAGTCAATGCATGGTGTAAAATCCTCCAAGACGGACGCACCCAAATCCTAGCTATGCTTGCTCCACTGTGATATCGTCCATACC